AGAGCTTGACCTTCCTCCTCTTTCTCTCCTATTTTCTACTCCACTTTTCTCATCTGTTTTTTTAACCATCATGATTTCATTTAAAAAATAATGGTATGCTTGTGAAGAAATGAAGAGTGTGCTCAGTGCAAACTAAATGACTAAATATTATGGTAGCTATCAAAGACAATCCTATTCAAATAAAGAGAAGAGTAAAAGGAATGAAATGAACAAAGGTATTTTCAATAAGTTCATATAAAAGTAAAAGGGCCAGTGTTAAAAAGAAAACTGTCACTAATTTTATTTTTATTATGTTAATATCTATAATAGTAATAGGAACTTATTTTCCTTCCTAAATAAATTACTGTCTTTTATTTTACATCATATTGATGCCTTCAACCACAACTATCAGATTCACTATGAAGGCAACACTCTTAGCAGAAGAGATTAAAATCCCTTTCATGATTAGACTGTGTTCTATTTGGCAATACAGATGGTAAATGAATGCATTGGACACTTTTCTGGAAAGTACTGAGTGCCTAGGAAGAAAGGAAAGAGGGTTGGTGGCTGGACCAAAAAAAGTAACAAGACAAGTGGGGATGGGCTCACCGTGGGTCAATAGGGTGTCATGCTGATGCTTTTTGTCTAAATGAATTGGGAAAAATTGGGTTGTTAACAAGGTGAATTACAGTGTCTTAGTTAAGCATTACCAAACAGTTCCTGTGGCATGAAATCATAGAATGAAAGAAAATCACTTGCAACCTCCATTTTTTTTCTTCCATTTAACAAACAGCCTAGGGGAATTACATTGTTTATGTTCTTAAGTAGAAAATTATGGAATAGGTTAGCAGGCTAAATTTGCAATCCTCAGGAGCAAAGAATAAGTTCAAATATGAAAATATTAAGTGAGTATATCAGGTAGAAAACACGTTACAGAGACATCAAGACATTGTGTAAGGAGGGGGAACTTGGGTGGAGCAAGGCCACTCTTGCCTCCGTCTCCTAAAGGGTCCTTCTCTGTTGTCATCTCTCAGCCTTCTCCTCCCTTGTCACCCCGTAGGCTGCTGTCAACCGAAGCACGAACCCATCAGGCTTCAGAAACATTCTGTGAACAGGCCACTTCACAAACATGTCATGCCCTGCCCCACCACTTGGTCCAACCTACCCCATTTACTGCGGTTCTCTTTGCTATGAAGTTTCTAAAAGGCTCTTTCAAAGGCTTTGCTCTCATTCCCAAAAGTGCTCTGGAGTATGTACTGTTTCTAACATCGTCACAGATATCTTCAAAAAGCTGAAGAGTTCTGATGTGGTCTGGTGAGGAGAAAGTGGATAGGTGGGTCTGCTAGCCTGAGGAGAGGCCTCCAACCTGCTGGCCCCTTGATTTAAGACTGACATATCTGAAAGAGTGAAAAATGAAATTTCTTCTGTTCTGTCCCAGAAACACTAGTGTGCAGTATTTTATTACAGCAACTGAAGCTGACTAATTTAGAATGATTGGATGTAGTAGTCATGCCAGCCAGTACAAGTAGATCATGGGGTGGGCAAAGGGTTGTATAAAGGGCATTGGCTGGTCCTCACTGCAGAAAAATTGGTAGTTGTTACATTAGGAGAGAGTCTACAAGCTTAAGCTGAAGGACTTGAAGGACTTGAATGGGTTTAGGAACATGCCCAATAACTTGCTGTTTATGAAGAGCAGGTTTAGAATCTCCTCCGGGCCTGCCTGCTCTGCAATGGGATGAGATTGGATGGTGGGAATTTAGAAGGTAATTCCGATTAATGAGAACATAAGGAGGGAGCCTCCATGTAGGATTCCTCACTTCTCACACACACAAAAAACGATTTAGAGCTTGTGTGTGACCCAGGAATGATTAGGATAAAAAGAAGGATGCCCATGGGACAGTGTGAGTCCTCACCAGCCATCAGATTAGCCAGGCCTGATCTTAGACTTTGGCTCTCCACAACTATGTTGTCTAAGCTGCCCAGTGCATGATTTTTCTGTCACAGCAGCCTGAGCTAAGACAAACTATTTCTGGAAATGCTGTAAAAAGTACGCTTATTTTAGATAACACATTTGTGCATGAATTGTGTCCCAGTGTAGAGGACAATAAATTCTGTGAAATTTTAACCCAAGTGAGAAGCTTAGACTCTTCTTGAGTTATGAAGTAAGAGTAATCTCTTTGAATTTTAATTCCTCATCTACTCTGAATCTAATTGTAGTCACATTTTAATCATTGTTATTATTTCCATGGCAACTAGGTAAAGGGATATATCTAGCATATAATAAATAGTAGTTGATGGAGTTTGAAAATAGATACAGATATAAAGAACATTCAGGCAAGAGAAGAATAAGAGAATCATTCAGTCTGTCTCTCTTGTTTGTACAGAAATAGAAGAGGGGTCAGTTCAGACAAAGGGTAAAGTGGCATGAAAGGGTTAGAGCAGGACAGTGTGCAGAACTCAGGGCTGATCCCTGAGCATTGTGGTCAGACTAATCTGCAATTAGCATTTCATTTTAGACCTTGACTTTCAGGGACTAATCATTTTGGTTGTCTTTATTTTACAGATGAAGGAATTGACCCAGATCTGTGAGCTAAACATCACAGATCACCCTCCAGTATATGTCTACACCTATACAGAATATTTGGTTATATGTATGTAGAGGGGGCCACGATCACTGAAGGTGATTGATTCATTGTTAGCAAACACACTGCCTTGAGCTCCAACCATTGTCACAGCATGGGTAGGGCTGTCTGAGACGGGCAGGGAGAGAAGACAACACTAATAACACAGACTCCCAATCCAGTCGGTTCTGAAATATCTCGGTGACCAGCACTTGTAAGTTCAGTAACACCCTATCTCTCACTAAAAATGAAACACTGCCCATACATAGTAGCTTTTTTTAGTTTCTGTGAGAAAATATCTGACAAAAAGGGCTTATGTTTTAAAGAAAGCTTCATGAGGACCCATCATTTGAGGATACTGTCTTCGCAGGCTCATGAGGTAGCTGATCACAGTGCACCCTGCACAGGAAACAGAGAGAGGGAGAGATACATGCTGATTTCAATTTACCCTTTTGCTTTTTTTTTTTTTTATTCTGTCTGAGACCTCATTCCATAGGACATGGCTATCAAATTTAAGGTGGGTCTTCCCACCTCAGTTCATGTCCATGAGCACACACATGTCCATGTCTCCTGGGTGGTTCTAAAGCTCATCAAGTTAATAATGACAGTTGCCCATCATCCTATATGCTAAACAGTTAGTAATGGAACCATTCTATTTTAGTAACATCTATTCTTTACATTAGCACATATTTTGTGTGTATGTTGCTGGGGGTGGAACTCAGGGCCTTGCCTATGCTAAGTAAGCACTCTGCCACTAAGCTGCATCCTGGTTCTGAAATTACCATATTTTATTTATCCTTTAATCTGCCTCATATTCTACATGCCGCTCAGTTTGGACAATTCTTAGTTATACAGTACTAAAATAAATGTAGGATATATTTGGACTTATTTTATACAACAGAAAAAATTTACACTGTGTTCAGCTATCAGGATAGTAAAAGAGCGTTTGTTTGACCACTCCTTACAAGGAAAACTTGGGCAAATTCAACATAGTTTTCAAATTACCTTATCTGTATGACAATTCATACTGCGGAAGGCAAATTCAGCAAGCCTTTTAGAATATGTTTTGAAGGATAAAATTTGTATTATATAATATTTGAAAGCTTAATGGACTCTATTAGAAATAAGTTTTCTATTTTTTTTCTGCATGCACCCCATAGAAGCTTAATATAGAAATTAAGATGGATTTCTTAAGTTGAGCATGCTGGAGGAACTACTGTGACTGGCAATTTTTCTTCTTTCTTCTATTCCCCATGTTCACTCATAAAACAACCTGAAATATTCCCATAAATACACACACACACACACACACACACACACACACACACACTCAGAGAAGCCAGTGTTTCATTACATGGAGAAATAGGGTTGTCTACTTTAGTATGAATAGCATAATTATTCAAAAATAGTTGTTTTTAACTACCTTACTTATTTAAAAATTGCCACAATTTTGAATCTTGGTTTTTAAATTATCCTAGAAGCCTTGTGCTTATAGAATCACTTCCATTCTTTTAAATATATGTATAATGGAAACCAAATTGTATTCACAGTGAATCACATAGACGGACCTTATATTTCTTAACTTGAACCCTGAAGCTCACATAGACCTCCCATGGTGGGTATGTGTCTCATACATAGGGTATATCAATTTATACATATGGAATTTTCATGAGACAAAATCCTCAGCTTTCACTGGGTTTCCATGGAGACTAGTGGTCCAGATGAGTTGAGAATCCAGTGCCTCAGAAGTATCATTAATGCTGGATCTGAGTAAAGAAAGTTGGATTTATTAAATCTAGGTGATGGATGAATTGTTCTCTGTATGTTTAAAGTGGCCCATAGCCAGGTGCAATATATTACGTAACAGAAATATATTAAACACAAAATAAATAAGAACAATTTTCTTTGTGTCAAAACATTCTGTCAATGCTTCCGGGTTAGGAGGTGTTAATACCTCGAGATAATTAACCAGATAGACATGAGTGCAGAAGTGTGCTCTAAAATAATGCAGATTTAGATCAAATGTCTCCCAGGATACTGCAGAGAATTGGAGAAAGAACTATATTTGCCATTCAAGAGCTGTCACTAACCTCCTGAGACATTGACTGAGACCAGAGGCATCTCTGTATGTTTCTCCTCCTACAGGATAAAGCAATTGTTCCAGAGGGCATGCCGACTGAGTCCCAGTACCCTCGGTGATATGAGCCTAGATTGCTGGGTCTTTACTTTTAAATTACCCTCCCTTTTTCTGCTAAGTTGACTGTTACATAGATCCTTCAAAGATGCTTTGGTAGGGGGTACTGACTGCTTCCTTGGACACAAAGTAATCTGAAACAGGAAGGCACCCCATGCCTCTGACTTCAGTTCTTTCTTTCTTCTTTGCTTTGTTTCCCACTGCAGCTTGAGTGCCTACTAACCTGCCTCATCCCTTTGCAAGGCTGAATGCATAGGTAAGTCACTGTCCTAAACCTGAAGTCACCTGGGATCACAGGTTTTCTAGCAGGGCTACGCTGATCCCCAGAGCACAATGATCTCCTGAAAAATCAGCTCAAGAGATCAGATTATCTTCAGACCACCCTGCAGGATCAAAGCTGAACCAGCGATAGATGGCACCACACCCTGACCAGAGCTGCTTACTTATGATGCCTCTTGCCCCAACTCTCATTCTGATGGACTTGGTCACTCGACCTCTTTATCAGCTTCCCTCCCAAATGTGGCCTCTGTCTCCCATGTCTGCTTCTTATCATTTACTCACATCTTCATGGGACAGGTAACTGAACATAACTTGGTGCTAACTGGAGCCAGGGATTTCCCCTCAGATTCTCCATCTACACCGTTACCTTCTGTCCTTGAAATAGCTAAGCTAGCTGCTGATTTTCACAGGAAAGAGTGACAGGAAGATAGAAGATACAATCACTTCCAATATGTACCTAAAGAACAAAACTAGGGCTACTGAACTGGCTCAATGAATAAAGGGCTCGCTCTTGCTGCCAAGCAAGAGTTCAATCCTCAGAACCCACAGAGTAGAAAAAAATTTCCACAAGTTGTCCTCTGACATCTGCATATGTACTGTTGTGCACCTGTACACACACACACACACACACACACACACACACACACACACACACACACAAATAAATGAATATATGTATTTTTAATGCACACTGTTTCATTCAATGCATATAATTTATCAAGTAGCAAATTTATACCAAATAGGAAAAATTTTTAGAGTCTCCTAGATACTAAATTCACTTGACTTAAATTATTACAAATCTTTGTTTCACTTTAAGTTCCAGGGTACAAGAAGATGCAAACATCCACTATTTACAAATCACTGTGTTAAACAGGGTAAGAGTGCAAAAATAAATATAGTAGCATCTAATGTTTCCTAAAGATGGAACAATAAGGTAAATAGCCAAGAAATGCATCATAATTGTAACAAAAATAAAGTTATAAACAAAGGGTAAGTTTCATGACTTTACCATCAACATCCTTAATTCTTTCAATTCCACCATCCTTCACTCTGTCCCGAAATTTTATATATTCTTGCATAAAACACCTAATTCACTATACAGCCCTGCTTTGTGGACATTTAAGGTATTCAATGATGCATGGCTCCACATTTTTCTACAGGAGGCATTCTACCTTCCAACTCATCCATTGCCATGTGTCATTTAAAATTTTGATCTTTGTTAAATTGCTCTATTTTGGAAAATAATAAATCTTTACTGTTTGCGAATGATTATGTTGCATAAAAAGATATTTCACATAAAATAGAAAAGACCTATGAAATAATGAACGAAAACATTGTCTTTACTTCTATAAATTTGACTTTAATTATGAAAATAGGCTCATATCCTACTAGTTATACTATAATTCTGTACTACTTTTATAAAAGTACTACTTCAACTGTCTATATCCAAGATACATTTTTCAGGGAAATTAAAAAAGACTACATGTATGGTAACCACCATTACAATGACATTGCATTTTAACATATAGAAATGTATATATGTATATATATATATGTGTGTATATATATATACATATATATATATATTCATGCACGTTTAGGGTTAAACTCAAAGTCTTGAGCATGCTACCCTTTGTCATCATTGTGTTCTTGTTTTCTTTATCATTTCTGCTACACTGTCAAAATATTTTAATTGAATTTTTGAGAATTTCATTTGTAATAGCTCTTAATCTATACACTTCTAATAAATTTATGGTTTTTTGTAATGTAATTGGGCCAATACATATAAGTTTTTTCTTAGTGTTCCTTTTAGTTGATTTTTCTAAGGTCCAGGGTGGCCTTAATTAAAGATGCCCCTGCCTTAGCCTCTCCACCACTGGGATTGTACTATCATGCCTATTATATCCTATCACCACACAGCTGGAGACACCAGTATGTTTTCCTCTTCTCTCTGATATTTAAATAAATGATCTTCTTCATGTGGTATGCTTAATTCCAGAAAGGTGACCAGTCCTGTGAGGTGCACGGGCTTACCATCCCAACTTTTGTGAAACTAAGACAGGTAAGGAAGATGACAATTTTAAAGTCAGACTAGGTCATATTAGTAGGTAAAGACAGCTGGACCTACTTAGAGAGTGCCTGTCTGGGAAAACAAGTAAACAAAGACTACCATACGTAGTTGTAAGGCACTTTGTCAGTATGATAATTTAATAAATTAACAATAGCAGATTCTACCCTAGGGCATGACCTCCAATCATGGGCTTCTGTCCATGATTACAGTACTGATAGACCCCAGACCCAGGGTACAACCTTCTCGGGTGGGTGCCCCAAGTACCCAGACTCTGGTCCAGTTGATGCAAACAGCAAGAGGTTTATTGATGCAGCTGTACAGTCGGGCTTCTCTTTTCCTGAGAGCAAGAGTCACACCTACTGCAGCCACATGGGCACTTTTAAAGAAAAAACTCACAAAAGCCATAAGATTACAATTCCCATACAATTTCCTTTCGATTGATTTATGTCTAGAGGCTAATTTCACAAGATCATGGCCTGATCACAGGGTAGGTACAATCATGTCTGCATGCACATTCTTCCCGAAACCTCAAGGCGGGTATCAGGGTGGGAGTGAAAGTTACACAAAGGTTACAGTGGTCTTTCCTGGAACACTTGCAATTATCCCAGTCACAGTTGAGCGCATCTCTTAACAGAAATCTCTTTACATTGTTACATTGTGGCAGGGGTGGTTGAGTAATGGCTGAGTCAGTTTGCCCTTGGAACTTGCTTTTTAATTCCTCATTCTCCTGGGGATTGGGAGGTGTAAGCCTGAAGGGTTAGGGTCTTTCAGTACCAAGCAAGAAATTTCCTATCATTCACCATGCCTCAAATCTTATTAAAAAGCTGTTAATACGCAGTAACAAACATACCACTACTGTACCAGTGAGAATATCTTGTCTGATGGGTCAGCACTCTATCATGCAGGATCCAGAATACTAAGCTAAATTTCATTGTATGTATTTATGATTTCTCATGAATAAAGAAAAAAAAACTTAAATGTGAGAGAACAGTGGTGGAGTTCAGCATGGCAGGATGCTGAGATGTTTGCCTAGGATGAGCAAGACATCTGCCAAGCTGCTTCCTCTCTTCAGCTCACATGAACCAACTTAAAGAAAAGCCATAGGTTTGCCTGGAAAGAGAATGAAATGCCATCCCTGAGGAGGTGGAGATCTCAGATCAGACCATCTCTAAAGTGACTGTAGATGATGCTCCATCAAAAGACCATGCTGAGTACAGGGTTTTCTCATCAATTGTCTCACTGTAACCTGGAGTGTCCATAAAAGATGTTTGAACTTTCTGACTGCCTTCCATCCCAGGAAGAAATTAGAGCTAGAAAGTTTTCCTTGATTTGCCTTATGGTGGACCTTGAGAAAATTACTTCTCCAAGTGTTCTTTGTCTCCTATTTGTCAGAGTGACAAACAGTATGAACTTGAACTTGAGATTCCAGTGGCATTGTGGCTAGTATAATTTTGTCAGTGGTTTTGCATCTTAGAGTAAGTACATGTTCATTAACTTCCCTGTTCATTTTCATTTGTAATCATATTTCATTGTTTTTGTATTTTCAGATATTAGTACAGTTGAATTATGAAGAAAGACAGAGGCATAAATATTAGAGTTTATAAAATTTGAAATCAGAATCCTTATGCAATTATTCATTCATTAGCAAATAATTTCAGGAAATTTAAGTTTGTAAAGTAAAAAGATGGCTTAAAATTTACCCTAATTTAATGAATTCTACTCAGATTCTCCCTGACATGAGGTTGCTGACCTAATTAATTTTATATTCTTTAGTTTTCCTTTTGAAGTACATGGCCTATTTGACCAATTCTTGCTATCATTAAGATTCACCATGTTTATTTGAAATGTAACTGTCCCAGATGACAGAACATAGAGTGTCTCTGTATGCCAGTGTCTTTGAGAAGATGGGAGTCCAATGTTAGTTTCCCCTAGCTCCTGTTGTCATGAGACCTCACAATTTTGCTTTTCCACTGGATAAAGTCAGTTAGCAAAACTGGATGACCAAAGAGCCTTCATCCTGTGGTAAGAGTCCTGAATAAAGTCTTTTGTGATTATCATTGACTGCTATATTTTTTCTTAGACAATATTTTGTCTTATCCGTGCTGTGTTATAACTACTAGTAATGATGCAACAATTTCCTTAGTTGTCTATTATTTGTTTAGTTTGTTTTTCTGAGATAGATATTTTGCTCTGTAGTCCAGGCTGGCCTACAATTCCTGAATTTCAAAAATGGGCAACTTGGGAGAGTCTATTAACTTTCTTTGCATAGGAAATTAACAAACTTAGAAGTTAACATATTCTATGGTTGGCATATTTACTACCTATCAGAAAAACCATGTTGTATGCTAAGCAGGCCACTGCTGTGGCCTCTCTTCCCTCCATGCCCACATCTCTAGTAGACCATACACATCTTCCCCTCCAACCTTCTTTCTCTAAACTTATTGGTTTATTCCAGTGATCAACCCCAGAAGGCATTCCTGGGAAACCCACCGGCCATTTGTGCAGAGAAGCAGATAGACTAACTACATAACTTCAATTCTATCTACAAATGGACCTAACAGATATTTACAGAACAGTTACTCAAACACAAAAGTATATACCTTCTCCTCAGCAGCTCACAGAACTTTCTCCAAAATTGATCCACATAATTGAAACAAAGCCAGTCTCAACAAAGATGAGAAAAGTTGATATAACACCCTGCATCTACCTGACTACAACAGATAAAACCTGAATACCAACAACAGAAACAGCAGAAAGTTTAGAAACTCATGCAAATGGAGTTACTCACTATTGAAGAAAAAAATGTACCAATCCAGAAATGAACAAAAAATTAAAGACTTTTTGGAGTTAACTTTCATTGTGGCAAAAGTTATCCACTGGGCAACAAAATGCCCTCTTATCAACTGCTGATAGTATGCTATCCAAAATGGACAGACAGGCCACAAATCAAAGGACTACTGATCCTTACCAAGACAAGTGTGGTTGCAGCTTTAACAACAGCCATCCTCAGAGGCCAGGACAATATGGCTCCATTGCTGAGTGGATTTGCAATCCAGAAAAGGTACAGTGCCCCTTTCTTTGAAGGCAAATGAATAGGCAGTGGACTGATGGTTTCTGGTGTGCAGTGGAACAGTAGCTGAAACAGTTATTCTTGAAAGAGTAACTAGGCTGACAGAGTCTAACCTCTCAATGGTAGACTGGCATTTAATAAAAGAGATGAAGCCATCCACAAGTCGAGAAGAATGGACAGTCAACTGAGGTTTCTCCACAACATTGGGGCATCATCTTCAGCCTATAGGTTTAGCATATCTGACAGATTCATTTGTGAACTAGGATGTACACAAGGTCTACAGTTCGACCTCACATTTGGTGTGAATAGTCCATGTACCAGATAAACCTGAATTCCACCAGTGTCCTGTCATGATTCAGGATTTTAAATTCTGGAAATTGCTGATGTTTTTGGAATTTGGCTGTCATAAAAAGTTTTGTGAAACAGGCTAGATAGTTGAGCTTTGCCATTTGATCATTTCTTTTTGACCTTGCCCTCAAACCTGACTGCTGTGGATGATTGATTGATAAATAAAACACCAATTGGCAAGTAGCCAGGCAGGAAGTATAGGTGGGAGTAGCAGAGAGAAGAACTGAGAGAACAGGAAGGTGGAGAGAGACACTGTAAGCTGCCGTGATGAGAAGCAACATGTTAAGATACAGGAAAGCCACGAGCCACATGGCAATTTATAGATTAATAGAAATGGGTTAATTTAAGATATAAGAACAAATAGCAAGCAGCCTGCCATGACATACAGTTTATAAGTAATGTAAGTCTCGGTGTGTTTACTTCTTTGGGTCTGAGTGGCTGCAGAACTGGCTGGTGAGAGATATTTGTCCTGACAATGGGCCAGGCAAAACCAGGAAAACTCTAGCTATACTTGATGACTGGGTATTTGTCTTTCTTGGGCCACTTTCTGACATCTTCTTTCTTATCATGCTTGGGCAGCATGGCCCAGCTAGGAGAGTGGCAGTGATCATTGTGGCCTTGCTAATATGTTGGATAACAACAACAACAAACAAAAAACAAACAAACAAACAAAAACCCAAAAACATGAGATCATAATAAGAAATACCTGAATATTTTGGGTATGCATACTGAAACATACAGCAGACTATATGTTTTTTTAATATTATTTAAATATGTCAGAGTATAACAGTACAAGAAGGGGAAAGAGGAGATTAAATGAACCTAAAACTACATAATAATGACAAAAGTATGGGATACCACTATGATTTATTATTTTTATAAATATTCTGCATTTTATAATATATATTCTATATATGCGTATATATTGAAAATAGACTATAAAGATTTGAACAGACGTGTTTGTAATGAGTATTTAGAAATATATAAATATATAATGACATTAACTGTATATCTCCTAATTAAGCTATTATGAATAACTGGTTATCTTTTATAACTAGTCTGCAGTATGAATGTATTATTGGACTAACTAGAGATTTTTCTGGAGAAAATGAAAAGAACCAGCTGCATATAGTTATAGCATCTACTTCTCAATAAAAGATGAAATAGCACATACAGAACACACATTTTTGAACCAGGAGCTCTGTGTACATTTCATAGAATACTTGTGGTAATCTCTTTAGATTTGTACAGTTATCTCCATAAGCCCAAACCCTCAGTGGCATGTGAATATGGCATGAAGGAATAATGAGGTAGGATTTAAATCCATTATCTCCCTGCTTTTAAAACCAATTGATTTTGAAATGCCACAGCAACCCTACTCTATGGGCCTTAGCCTCAGCATGAGCAGTCTCCTGAAGAAATTTACCAGAAAGAGTTCAGATCACTTGTTCCAGCTGTTTATTGTTCTGGAAACTGGGTCACTGCCTTCGCGTCCACTTGGCACCATGGTTCACAAGGCATCACTACTGCCATCCACCTGGTATCAACGTATCCTCATAACTATCCTTGATCCCACTATTAGAGAACACCTGTGTTTGCAGAACTATTTTCTGTGCTCTTATCTCAGCAGTAAACCTGTGGATTCATTCTTTTCAGCAGCAGGCTCCAGGTGAGGCAGATGCAGAAAAAATAAAATAATAAATAAAATAAAATAAAAATTTAAAGAGCCCCTCTCCTCTCGGAAAGCTGATTCCAAATGAAATGTTCAAGGACCCATCATTTTTCTTTGGACTCCAGGACTTCTGGGTTTGGTTTTGTTTGTCATATCTTTGCTTAGTAGAGTTTTTCATGCCCAGCTTACCTGCTGAAAAGTGAGCATTGCATAAAGAAAGTGGGGCTGTTTACAGAATTACAGTGCAACTCACTGTTTCCATTGTTTTCAGTGCAGTTGGTCCCCGATCTGAAAGCACCACCCACCTAAGACTTATGTCCCAGAGCTCTTTCAAAGAAAAATAGCTTTACAAAAGTGAGTGTATCAAAATAAAAGCAAGGATTGGAGAGTTAAAATCCAGCATCAACCTCTCTCCACTATAAGAGAAAAAAAACTTACTTGATTTGCCACTGTTATCCTAGAATATAATGGGTTTATTTCATTTTGAAGTAGAAATGTTCAATAAGTATGGTGTCTTTCACACTGATCATTCAAAAAGAATAAAAACATGCTCGGCAAGGGACGTGTTTAACACTTAAAAATTTGCAATCCCCATGTTTTAATCTCTGCCTATGCTGGTGTTGTCTCTACATCTAGTGTTTCTTTAATGTATTCTACTCCTTTAAAACATGATTTTATGCCTGATCATGTCTGACTGAGGTTACAAGAGGAGATTCTGGCCAGGTCCATCTACATCAAGTTTCATTGACATTAAAGCGAGATTGTGCATCTGAAGACATGTGTGTATAAAGTGTGTACTGAACACTAGGCATGATCCCATCCCAGACATTTGCCATAAATTGATATGTTGATTTATGATTTTAACATAGACAGCATTTCAGTTTCATTTCTTAATTCTGTCTTCAAATAATATAATTTCTTGTATTTTCCTAAAAGAAAATAAACAAATTAGATTCTATCTCACATACTTTAAATGGGCCCTTCTAATCCTGTCCTTTATACCTGTTTCCTGAATATAAAACAAGCTCTTAGACCTTGCTGTACATTTCCTTCTTCATGCTATCATTTCTTTCCAAATGAATCTTTGCCTTACTCTCAAACTTCATACAATCACATTTAAGCCATAGCATGTTGTCTCACACGCCCTCAGAAGCTCATTTTTTGCATTGCCAAATCCTTTTAGGACATTTCTAAAAGTCCCCAAGTGATTCCCTGTACTCCCAACATTGTTCAAAAGTCCAAATTCACCATCTATTCTGGGACTCAAAACAAAACAAAATGAGAGAGAGAGAGAAAGAGAGAGAGAGAGAGAGAGAGAGAGAGAGAGAGAGAGAGAGAGAGAGAGAGAGAGAACACTTAGCTGTGGATCTATGTGAAATCCAAACCAAATTACAGTCTCTCAACATAACATTGACACAACATAAGCATCTCTAGTCCCAAAAGGTGAAATGGAGACATAGAAAAGAGAAAAGGGATGAAATGAGCAAAACACAGCAGGACTATCACTAGCTCCAGAATCAAAACTGGGGGTAATTAGAAGGAAAAAAAAATGTCATTTGCTGTGGGATGTTCTGTATGTTAAATGTGTTGCTCTGATTGGTTAATAAATAAAACACTGATTGGCCAGTAGCCAGGCAGGAAGTATAGGTGGGACAAGGAGAATTCTGGGAAGTGGAAGGTTGAGGCAGAGAGACGCTGCCAGCCACCATGATGAGAAGCAGATGTTAAGGCAAGACCAGGAAAACTCTAGCTACAGTCATTCAAGGGGACCTGGGTAACTCTGCCTCTATAACCTTGACCGCCACAGCCTAAAAGGCACACTTTTGGGTTCTCCATGGATTTCCTGAGCAAACAGTTCTACACCTAGCATCTCTAAAGACCTGTGTTTATTTTAGCTGCATCTGGCTTCATTCAAGTCTTGATAATTTGACCTCTCAGTTGCTTGCTAAACGAGATGTGATCTTGCTACACATTTCTTGGTCTCCAATCTTTCTTATGAAATCATGGTGGACACCTCCACAATCCTGCAACTCTTGTGTTCTACATCTTGAAGTGTTGGCATCACCGAGACCCCAAGACTGCTGCCAACTTGAAGAGTACCTAGTCCAACCTAGACCATGACTTCAGTGGCTTCTGATTGCATGGGTATCTGTTCCAGCAGGGAACCCTGTAGTGTCTTTCTTCCAGCAGTCTTTTGGTGCTATTCCTTTAGATCCCAGAGACCAGAATGACTGAGTCTCATTCAATTCCTGGTATGTCCGTAAGCCATCTTTTCTATTGTTCTGGTCCAAGAAACAATGGCTTCTGTTAGTGGGGCTCATCTAAGCAACCACTGCTTCATTGCAACAATTTTTGTCCACACTTTAATATTTTAAACTCATCTGCCCTATTTTTTTTCAAATGTTTCCCTCTAAATATGAGTAAAGTCAGCTGAGTGGTAGCCTGCCTTAAAACTCCCTCCAACATATTTACTTCTCTGCCGTCCTAATTAGTCTGCCAAAAAGCATCATGACATTAACAAGTTCTTTGCCACAGTATGATACAGTAACCTCTAGTTCACTTCTCAGTAGGTCCTTGCTTAACATGTGAAACCACATGAGCCTGGACGTTGCTGCCTGTATTCTTACTGGCATTGCCATCTTCTGCCCACCTCCCCTAGAATCACTCATTACTCTCTCCTTGTCTCATCTGAGGTTCCAAAGCCTCCCAGAAGCAAGTTCCAAAGCCTTCTAAATTACAGTATCAGGTAGTTACAGCAAGGACTTCACTTGTTCAAAGCCAGTTCCCTGGGGTACAGGTGTTCAAAGTATACCACTCTGAATAACATCTTGGAACAAAATAACGATAAGCCTCCAGAATGAGAACTCTATCATAACTGATGATTTCTAAAATTCTTGGATTAGCATGGAAACAAAAACTCTC